CGAGGACATTTTTCCATTTTTTGTTCAGATAGAGCGGGAGGGAGAGAGAGAGAGAGAGAAACATCAATGTGAAGGGACACATCGAGTGGCCACCACCTGCACGACCAACCAGGGCCGGGGACAAAATGCAACCGAGGTACATGCCCTTAGCGGGAACCGAACCCGGGTCTCTCTGTACCGCAGGCCGACGCTCCAACTGCTGAGCCAAACCGGCCAGGGCAGAGTGATCTTTTTTTGACACGAAAAGATATTGTGCCTCTTCCTTCCAATGCTTTCACTGCACTTAGAACATAATCAAACTCCTTACGTTGGCATATAAAGCCCTATGAGATCTGACTTTCTGACTCCATCTGGGATTACTCTCCTTATTACCAGAACAGATTCTAGCCTTGACTTGCAGATTCCAAATTCCTCCAATGTCCCAAGCTCCTTTACACAACCTGTTCTCAAGAAATATTCTTCTTCTTGGTCTTCCTATGAGTGGTTCCTTCTGGTTATTCAGCTCAGATGTCACCTCCTCAATAAGAACTTCCATGACCACTTAATTTACAGTAGCTATGTAGTTACTTTCATTTCCTCTATTTCAGTTTTCAGCACAATACTTAGTGTTCCTTATTTATTTTCATTATCTGCCTCACGTCATGAGAGCAAGAATTTTGTTTAGCTCGATATCTTTGCTACCTAGAACAGTGCTTAGCACATAGTAGGTTCTTAGCACATAGTAAGTATTTGAGATTTAATGAATGAATGAGTACCTACGCTTGGGCACTGTCTACCGTCGCAGTTGCCTTCCCACCTGTTAGCAACCACAGGCTCATTGAATCAGGTTTCTCCATAGACCACTTAGACTTGTGCTGTTCAGTACGGTGGCCTCCAGCCACATGTAGCTATTTAAATATGAAATTAAATTAAAAACTCAATTCCTTCATTGCACTGGTTACAAGTGTTTATTAGCCACATGTGGCTGGTGGCTACCATATTGGATAGCACAGATAATATTTTTTTTATCATTATAAAAAGTTCTATTGAAATTTTATAAATAGGACTAATCCCAATGGGAAGCTTTAGGACCAGCCCCTTGAGTGTGACAATAATTGCCTTTGGGGTCTTATTACTCTGGAGTGGTGTCTGTATGAATCATCCTATTTGACTTAACAAGACACTTTATCAAACAGGTGTTTTTGAGGATTTCAGAGGCATACTACTGGAACAAGGAACTTGCATGATAAGTACATAAAAAGGAACAGATGCCTAGAAAATCTCTTATCATAGAACTCTGTGCTGAGCAGAAGTATAGATGGGGATTTCTTAACAATAGGTTGGGGAAGGCGAGAGGTTGGCAGTCTTAGATAGTAAACTGAATTAACTCTAAGGTATGATTCCTTTAGGATGTATTGTTATATCAGAAATGCCTTCAGCTATGAGGAACATAAAACAGATCAATATTATAGACCAAACCCATTTATAAAATCTGACATAAAATACTAACAAACAGAATTCTAGAGGTATATTAAAAAATAAAAACATCAAGATCAGGTGGGGTTTATTCCAGGAAGGTAAGGGTAGTTTGGTAGTGGGAAACTGATTCATGTAATTCATCAGATTGATATATTTAAGGAGAAAAGTAGTGTAATAATTTTTACAGATGCTTAAAAGACATTTGTTTTTCTCTCATTCAATATCTATTATTGACTTAATAACTCCACGAAATAGTAAAAGATGGATATTTCCTTAGCATAATAAAATAAATATATCTATTTTAGCTCCTGCTTAATGGAGAAATACTAAAAGTGTTTCCATTAAAATAAGGATCAAGATAGAGATGGCCATCAATGCCATTATTACTTAACATTGTTCTGGAAGTACTAGGCAATGCATTTAGACAAGATTAAAATATATTAGAAATATAAAAGCTAGATAGAGGTAAGTTTCAAGTTATTTATTGATGATAACCTAAGAGAATCACTGCAAAACTATTATAGATAATAAGATAATTTAGTGGTGACTGGGTAAAAAAAATTAAAAGATAGAAAAGATCCCATTCTATAACACTTAAAGAAATAAAACACCCAAGAAAAATGAACTTAACAAGAAATACTCCAGATCTATATTTTAAAAAATTGAACATTAAAATACTACTGAGGGACACAAAAGAATCACAAATAGAAAGGAATACTATGTTCTTGAAAGGAAGATTAACATTAGGAAGATGTCAATTCTCCCTAATTAATATAGAAATTTAATGTGACCTCAATACAAATACCAGTAGAAGTTCTTTTGGGAGGGTACTAGATAAGCTGATCTTAAAGTTCATATGGAATAAAAAATAAAATACAGTTAGAAAAATTTTGAAAAAGAAGATGAAAAGAAGCCCTAATAGATATTTAAAGTATAAAGTAAAAATACTTGAAAGATTGTAGTGCTAGCAAATTAAAAAGACAGAGGGAAGAGAATTGAAAATCCAGAAGTAAATTCAAGTTTATACCCAAATTTTATTTATAATGGTAGCTTTTCAAATTAGTGAAGAAAAAATATTATTGTTCAATAAATGATTTGGGATAATAAGATAACATTTAGGAAATTGTCCAGTAGAAAAATAGTAAGAGATGAATAGTTTGTGGAAAATAAATTACAAATGACTTTTTAACATATGAAAATGTTCACTTACAGGGAGGGCGTTCACTGGCCTCCCTGCACCCATGTTGACATTGGTTGGATTTCAGTATTGGCTTTTTCCTCCATGAGATATAGGAGTGGGGTTCTCAAAAATAAGAATAAGAAATATCTAGAGACTACCTAAATTCAGGCTTAACTATCCCATTATTAACTATTGTACTGGGTTCCATCTTTCAAAGACAATTATCATGAGGCTGTCTTTATTGATTTTCTATCAGTTTTCATTCTATACAGGAGCTCCTCTTGGTATAAAGCATGCTCCTGGAGCCTGTCTTAACACTGGCAAAATAAGCGTGGGCAGTGTTATGGGCTGAATTGTGTCTCCCACAATTCCTAAGTTAAAGTTCTAACTCAGAACATGACTGTATTTGGAGATGGGGTCTTTATTATTATTATTTTAAAATATGTTTCTTTATTGATTTTAGAGGGAGGAAGGGAGAGGGAGATAGAAATATCGATAAGAGAGAAGATCAATTGGGTCCACAACCTGGGCATGTGTCCTGACCTGGAATCAAACTGGCGACCTCTTGGTGCATGGGTCGATGCTCAACCACTGAGCCACACCAGTGGGCAGAGAGATGGGGTCTTTAAAGAGATAATTAAATTTAAGTGAGGTCATTAGTATGGCCCCTAATCCAGTATGACTGGTTTTCTTGTAAGAAGAGAAGATTGGGACACAGACACACACAGAGGGAAGACTTTGTGAAGACACAGTGAGAAGACAGCTACCAGCAAACCAAGGAGAGAGGCCTCAGAAGAAACCAACTCTGCTGACGCCTTGATCTCGAACTTCCAGCCTCCAGAACTGTGAGAAAATAATTTTTTTGTTGTTTAAGCCCCCCAGTCTGTGGTACTTTGTTATGGCAACTCTAGCAAATTAATATAGGTAGATAGAACCCTAAATTTGAATGGTGTCACATAGAACTGTGCCTTCACACCACTTCTTTAAAATGCATTTCCTTTTATTTAGTTAAAAAAGTATAAACTTTGTTTTTTATCTAAACACATTGGGACAGTTACTCAGGATTTGTGTTGTCTGGCTCTACCACACTGCAAACCAGGAGGCTTTAACTATCTAAAGATACAGCTCACCATTATTTACTTCTCAACCAAGGAAGCTGGATCTAATACTTTCACGGTCGACCTTAAATAACCCGGCCCTTCACTTGGATCCGGCGTCTTCCAGAGTGTATCTTACAGTCACACCATCTTGATGAGCCCCAGCAACAGAGTTCTTCACATTGGACCCAGATGGTGGCCTTTTATGGAAGGAGCAGTCGGCTGGCAGCCGCTCCCCTCGCAATCCTTCAAGCTAAGATCGTCTCTACCGGGCAGCATGGTAAATAAATTCTGGGGACCCAAACATTTACTAATAAGAGAGCATGAGAAAATTTGAAGTTGGGCAAAAAAATAAAACAAAATAAAAAGACAAAAAGAAGTGAACAGTAAAAACCACGATTACTCCTTCTGAGTGAATGGAGGCCAGCCTAGGTCGAGACTCCAACAGAATGTGAACTTGGCCTCTCACGTGTTATGTCTCAAGCCATATTTTTCTCCTTCAGTCAACCTTGCAGAACAGTTTTTCACTTGGCATTGTGGCTGCGAGACTTACTGCCTGTGGAACAGGCAGGAAGTCTGGTTCTTGGAGAAAACCAGCCCGTTTTACCCATGCAGAGAAATTCGGGGCGGGGGGGGGACATGTGGAGTTTTTCCTCGAGGCCTCTAGAGCCAGACGGACATGGTACAAATCCCAGCTTTGCCACTTGCAGTTGAATTGGGCAAGTGACTTAGCCTCTCTGTGCCTCAGTTTCCTCAGTCATTAAATGGGAATAGTAGTAGTATCTAGCTCGTAGGGATGTTGTGAGGATTATATAAATTATTATCATGATTTTTATCCTCTCCCGAGGACATTTTTGCATTTATCTTTAGATAGAGCGGGAGGGAGACAGGAAAGAAGAGAGAGAGAGAGAGAGAGAGACATCAAGTGGTTGTCACCCACATGACCCCAACTGGGGCCAGGGACAAACTGCAACTGAGGTATGTGCCCTTAGCAGGAACCAAACCCGGGACTCTCTGGTCCGCAGGCCAGTGCTGAGCCAAACCAGCCAGGGCTACATAAATGATGATTGTAAAGCCTTTAAACACTGCCTGGCACATCATCAGTGATCACTAGCTAATACTGTTATTAACTGAATTACATATAACAGTCCTTCATAGAAATATCACTGTGGGATTATATTTTAATGTTTTGACCTTTGCCTTTGACATTGCCCAATGAAATAGTATTTCTATATGAATCCCCAGAAAAGAAATTATCTAGGTCTCAACTGCCACTTTATTTGCACGTGGTTACAATTTATAAATACATTTGCCATTTTCCTCCCCCTCCAAAACTTTCCCTAGTAATCCCCAGGTTTTAATGACTCCCATTCTTTAGGAGGGAAGAGGTGGTGCTCCATGTAACTCCATCATAGAGTCTACCTCAGTCCATGTGAAGTGTGGGTCCTCTGAAGCTTGGGGATGAGGGCCACAAATCTGTTAGAGGTCCCAGTGATGTCCTTGCAAGTGACCGTGTGGCTGGCTTCCTCCTGTGTCATGCTTTGGGTGCAGAGCGCCATGGTGGGCAGCAGCAGGCATCATGTGCTCTGTCTGTGCCTGAAGCTGAACTGGTGCAGCCCCCATGGGCAGGGGTCTGCAATGAAGTCTCAGGCCTGCTCAGGCGGTGGTGAGAGTCCTGTGGCGGGCACCGTATCCAGCCAGTGCCTGGCCCTGCTCTCGGAGACATGTCTGAGGCCTGGCCCCTTAGGGTTTGCCTCTCAGGGGCCCTACCCAGGCCCTCTGTCAATCCTGTGTGGGTAGGGCAGCCTTAGGGAGAAGGTGATCTCGTGCCTCCATTCTCCTGGCTTCTTCCAGATACCATGAGGCGTGGGTGACAAATTGGGTCCTTGGCCCTGTTAGAGGGCATGGCACCCCAGTGTCTCTGTCTCGGCCAGGTGCCAAGCTTTGCCATCTTCCTGGTAGGGTGTAGACAGCCCGGGAGGACCAGGGGCACCCTCTTCAGGAATGGGGTATGGAGGCTCTGGGGGAGAAGGGGGGTCTCCAGAGCCCCGTGCTCCCCCCAGTACTGGCCCATTGTAGATGTAGATGTTGCCAGTGACAGTCACAGACCCACCGGTGACATGAATACCATTGGTACCTGTGGGGAGGGAGGCAGAGTGAGAAGGGCTGGGGGGCACTGTAGAGGAAGGAGGGCCTGTGTGCCCCCCGCATCAATGCCCTACTTCCTGAATGCCCTCGTTCTTCTGTCTTCTCCCGTTTCTCTCTGTTCCCACTCCCACTTGCTATTGGTTTCTTGAGCTCTGCAGTCATTTGTTTCTGGGTTTTTCAGTCTCTTCCTTTCTCCCTAGTTGGGACACTCTGGCTGGCTGTCAGAGTCTCCGTCTTGTCTCCAATTTAGTCTTCTCATTTCTGTCTGCCTCACACTTTCTGTCCCTGCCCACCATCCTTCCCACGGTGCCTCCCCCACCCCCTCTTCTCCCTGCATACTACTCACCGTGGGCCATTTGGCCTTGCTCTGGGAGCTCAGCTTCCAGGTCCCTGGCCTGGTTCGGAGGACTCTGCTGTTGTAGCACCTCTTGCCTCAAAACCGGGGTCGGTGGGGGCCAGGCCGAGGCCGGGGGCAAGTCTCCAGGGATGGGCAGAAGTGGCTTTACCAGGTCGGGGAAATGTGGGTTAACGCTTGAAGCCTGCCAGTTTCCATCAGCAATATTGGATTCCTCTCCCTGCAGGAGAGAAGTGGAGCACCAACCAATGATGTGGGACCCCCTCTTTCTTTAATTCCCACACACCACCCCAACTTAGGCAGCCCAGGGCCCTCCTCTGCTCCTCCTCAGGTTTCCGCCACAGGACTTTGCACTTGATGTTCTTACTTCCTGGAGCACTCTCCCCAGATATTTGATGCCTTCATTTCTTCAGCTCTCTGCTCAAACACGGGCTTATCAGAGAGGCGCTGTCTGTCTGCTGTCTAAGATAATATACCCCCATCCTGTACCACCGCCATCCATTGTTTCCCTACCCTGCTTTATTCCTGTTATCGTGACCTGATACATACATAGTTAACTTGATTCTTGCTCCACTGGTATGTAACTCCAGGAGGGTAGTTACTTAGTTTTCCTCACTGCTCTATCTACATGCCTAGAGCAGTGCTTGGGATATGGGATGCTCCAAAGTTACTGGTGGAATGAGAAGTGAATGAATAAATGTTGAAGCCTGCACACTCTTCCTGCCTCTCCTACACTGTTCACGCGCCCTGCCTGCCCCCCCTGCTGCCTTCGCAGCCTTTCCTCATTACCTCCGGACGGCTCTTGAGCAGGGATCCTGCAATGAAAATGAAATGGGTGTAGGACCTCTGGCAGACCTCAGACCGCCAGGCTTTCACCCTCCACACCCCACCACAATGTGTTGCTGCCCACCCTGGGATCCCAGAAGGAACAGACTATCTCCAGGTCAGAATGGGGGAGTGGATGGAGGTGATGTCTATGTTGGGGGCAGGCTCTGGGAGTGTTGAGGATGTGGAAGGGCATATAAGTTGTACTAAGGAAGGTGAAGACACCCTCAACCCTCCCCCATCCAGGTGGGGGACTGACAACTGCCTCCCCACTTGCATGCAGCCCCTTCCTACCCAGCTTTCTGCAGAGAGAGGGGTGGCTCTTCCAGGTGCAGGCCAGGATGGTGATGAGGAACAGCAAAGAGACCAAGGGCAGCATGATGGCCAGCACCAGCATAGTTCCTGCCAGGGCAGTGGACAGGAGGCGACACGACGGGGATGGGGCAAGGGCAGAGAGGAAGAACGTTAGTGAACAGCTTTCCGATTCTCTGGGCAAGCCTGACAAAAAGTTCCTAAAGGCAGAATTAGAGACACTTCCCTGGGTTGCAGAGAAGGGAAACTCAGTTGGACTTGGGGGAACCTCCTGGTAGCCAGGAGAAACTGTCATAGATTGAGATCTTTGGGATGATGCAGGTCCCAGCTGCATGAGGACAAGAGCTTGGGCAGTTGATTTTCAAGAGCTGTAAAGGGAGGGTGGGGGGGGGGGCAGGAGGCAGCACAGGGAGGGTGGGGCTCGGGGCTGGAAGCAGACTCAGGCCACAGGGTAGGGCTACGTTCTGTGACTTGACCATCTTACAGAGAGGCCACTGCAGGAACTGAGAGTGGTCCTCTGTACCTGCGGGGTGCTCACAGAGGTGGGAGAAGGGGGGAGCCTCGCTTCTGGATTCTGCCTATGGCTGCCTGGGAGACTAGGGAGTGCAAGGTCTTCACCCCCTTTCAGGTTCCAGGAGGGAAAGGGAACAGGAGGCTGAGTGTTCAGTCCCTCGGGACCTGATGTGGGGCAGCGGATGGTTTCTGTCTATCTATGGGCCTCAGTGCTGCCACCCACAGCATGAAGTCTGTGGTGCCATCAGCCACGCCTGAGGAAGGTCAGAAAGACCTGGACATTTGTACCCTGGGAGTTGGCTCTCTCCAGTCCACCTAAATCTGTGGCTGAAAGCCACCTAAATCTGAAGCATGGGAAGAAATTGGACCTGGAGTCTTGGACACCTGGGTTCCAACCCAGCTGTGTGACTTTTTTTTTTTTAATCCTCACCTGAGGACATTTTTGCATTTATCTTCAGATAGAATGGGAGGGAGAGAGGGAGAAAGAGAGAGAGAGAGAAACACTGATGTGAGAGAGACACAATGAGTGGCTGCCACCCACACGACCCCAATCGGGGCCGGGGACAAACTCCAACCGAGGTACATGCCTTTAGTGGGAACCGAACCCGGGACTCTCTGGTTCGCGAGCCAATGCTCTAACTGCTGAGCCAAACCGGCCAGGGCAGCTGTGTGACTTTTTAAGTCATTTTACCTCTTTGAGCATCAACTTTTTTTATATATAAAATGAGGGGGTTAGACTCTCTAAAATGCCAATCATATTTGATACATAGTTAAACATTAATAAGAGGACATGGAAAAATATTTATGATATAGTATTGAATGAAAAATCAGGTTACAAGGTATTCAAATGACTCCACTTTTAGAAAAAAATTGTATGTGTTGACATAACAGAAAAATGTTTGGGAGGATATATAAGAAAATATTACAGAGTGGATATACTAGGTGATGGTTCTGTGGGTGATGTTGAGTTTTATGTGTCTGAATTTTCTAATTTTCTACAATGTGGATGCATTAAAAATTAAAAAGACATGAGTACAGGTCTTCATAACACCAGCTACCACCTGGGGGATCTTGGGCAAGTCATGTAACCTCTGAGCCTCGCTTTCCTTATCCTGTCAGTGAGGCTGATAGTAGAATGACTTAATAAGATCAATAAGAGGATGAAATAAGTTAATGAATGTCAAGTATTCAAAGAGTGACTGACACTTGCTCTGAATAAGTGGAAGTTAAGATTATAAATATTTGCTAATTTTAAAAAGCTAATAAAATAAACTCTTCCCCAGTGAATAATGATTACAATCATTAGAAACATCCTGTAATTGTCTATTACTTTAGGAAACCAATAATTCCACAGAATAAAACAAGAGTCAGATGTGAAATTCTCTCTCTAACAATGAAAGTGAATGAACGACTCCGTCTAGTAAATGGATTAAATGATGGTGGCATGTCCAAAATGGTAACAGTGATGTCAGTTAGTTACATCTAGTATGGGAGTGTTTCTTAGCATAATATTATAGTATATGTATAATATGTAACATTTTTTTTTTTTTACTCCTCACCCAAGGATATTTTTCTTCATATGGGGGGTGTGGAGGGGGAGACACATTGATTGGTTGACTCTGGCATGACCCTGACTAGGGCTGGGGACGAACAAGGTACATACCCTTGGCCAGAATGGAACCTCAGACTCTGATCCGCGGGCCGACGCTCTAACTGCTGAGCCAAACCAGCCAGGGCATAACTTTATTTTTATTTTTATTTTTTTTCAATTAGCAATAATCACATGTCAGATAAACCTCATTGGCTACAATACTGCCACTGCACAAAGCTTATAATATGTAACTTTTAAAATGTGTGTGTGTGTGTGTGTGAGCTGCCATGGGGACAGTCCAATTTCTCTTTAAGAAACTTTTCTTCTTGCCCCCATTCTGAGAGGGAAGGATCATCTTTTCCCCATTTTCGTAGACAGAAGGAATTATGGCATTTTCCCGGATACCCCCCCCCCCCTGTGTCCCTCAGCCCTGGCCCCTCACCTGGCATTTCAGGGGTCTCTGATGGATTTCTGCAGCTGGTGTCAGACAGGTTGGTGCCTGGCGCTGCTTCTACCAGGCCCATGTCCTCACACCTGTGGAGCAAAGAAATGCCCAGCTCAGGAGGGCACACAGCTGGAAGTGGCAAGGAGGGTCCTGTAGAGCTGAGCACGGGGATGGGGTTGTCAGCAGCTGGGGCTTCTGGGAGGGTAGGAGGGACATGGCCACACTCACCTGGTGTGGGGCTGGCAGCGGGCGCTGGGGGAGGAGGTGTTCTGGAAGTGCCCTACCTTACAGGGCACACAGTTCCTACTTGCCTCCGGAACTTCACCTAGCAAGAGAGAGGCAAGGCCAGCCAGGGTAAGTGGGCAAAAGGAGCCTCTTGCAGCTGTGAGCTTGCTTTACACCCACTGGGTGGACCCTCCCTGTCCACCCACCCCATTCTGTAGCTGGCGCTTTTCCTGATCTCCCCCTTGCCGAGTTTACCGGGTGCTAAGGGAACCCCCACTATCCCTGCCCCTGTCCCAGTTCCATTTCTCTGCAGATAGATCCCTTCTGTGAGCCTTTCACAGGGAGGAGAAGAGGCTTTGTATGCCAAAGACAACGACCTGGAGGCTCACCATGCACACAGTACCATGCTCTCTGCCCCCATTCAAGATCATTGCACCCAGCCTCTTCCCCACCTCCTGCCCTTAGTGACCTCTGACCTTTGAACTCAGCTTCGGTGCCCGGTGGGCAGTCAGGAAGTGACTCGCAGTGCATACATTCATGGTCCCAACGGGCGCAGAACATTCCTGGCTGGCAGCGGCACTGGGTTTTCTGTTTGCTTGTGCAAGGTGCAGTCTCCTCAAAGCCCAGGACTTGTGGGGGGACAAGACAGCTCAGTGGAGGGGCTGCCCTCCAGGGGATTCCAGCCGTCCCCAGGTACGCCCCACTCACCCTGGTCACAGGGGCGGCATAGCTGGCAGATTAAGAGATAGTTCCAGTGCTCATTGTAGGAATTTTTAGGGCATGCAGCACAAACTGTGTCCTTTCCATTGCTGCATTCAGCTGAGACATGAGTGCCTAGAATGTGAGTGGGGCAGAAGGAGTATCAGCAAACCAGGGTTCCACCCTTATTTCTGCAGCCTGCTGTGTGACGCTGGGCCTGTCCCTCCTGGTGCCTGCATATGAGGGATGGCCAGTGTCTCTCACCCTGTCTCTGCCAGCTGGTTGTCCTGGGAGATGGTGTCCGCCTTCCTTCTGAGGCAGTGAGGTAGACTGGAATTCCCTGAAACCCGCCTCCCTGTCCCAGGCTTCCTCTGGCCATTGCCTCTCACCTGGGGGGCAGCGGGAGCAGCAGGCCTGATGCTTGGGTTCGTAGTACTCCTTTTCCTGGTCCAGGCAGGTTTGGTTCTCCGTATGGTATGGGGGCACCTTCAAGGGAAGATGGATATGGGGGAAGCATTATTCAGAGGTCAACTGGGAGGGCAGATCAGAGAGGGAGCTGCCTAGACACCTCTTCCTTATCCAAGCCAGCCCCCACCCACCTGCCTGGCCCCTCCTCACCAGTGGGGGCTGGGATGCTGCCAGGAGACCGCAGAGGCCTAGTATGAGTGGCCCCCAGGCCAGGCCGCAGGGGGAGACGGCCCACAGCAGGCGCATGGCGGCTGGTCGACCAGATGGGTGGAGGCCTGGGAGTAAGGCGAGAGGCCTGACCTCCTGGGTAGTGGTGGCAGCAGCCTCCGGAGCCCTGAGGCTGGGACAGGACACAGGCCGATGTGCCCCCCTGGGCCAGAGCGGCCAGGCCTGGCCTGGCCTCCAGGGCTCCAGCGTCAGGCTCAGGAAGTGGGAGTGGAGCTAGCCGGCCACGGGGCGGGGACAGGGAGCGCTGGGAGCTGAGGCTGCTGTCGCAATCGGGAAGAGGAACAGGCTTGGCTGCCCTGATGCAGGGCGGGAGGGGGCAGCCGGGAAAGCACGTGAGGGCAGCGGGCGGGAACCGGGCCTCCTCCCTTCGGAAGCCTGACTGGGAGCGGGCTGCAGGGCCAGGCCCCGCTGGTGGGAAAGGGGCAGCAGAGCCTGTGGACAGTCCTCAGATGGGCCTCAAGAGGCCAGCGGGGGCAGAGCTGACCAGAAGACATGGAGTTTCGCGTGACAGATCTGAAAAATGGAGGGCCTGGGACTGCCAAACACGGAGGATGCAGAGACCCAGAGACAGCCAGCCAGATGCAGCCTCTGGGAACCAGAGGTCCTGGACAGCAGACTGTTTGGACTCCTGGGTTCCTGCCCTGTTGTGTGACTTTTTAAGATAAATTACAAAGTAATAACAAGCCAGCCAGTCCTCCCCCTCTCTGGATTCCCTGTGTTTAGCACAGAGTCTGACACATACTACACGTCCGGGATGTATCTACAGATGAAGGACTGAGGCCTTGCCCATGTAACAGCCAGTTCCTGGCAGAACTAGCGTAGAGTCCAGGGCTACTGATTTCTGGGTCCTAGCTCATTCTAACAACCATGCTGCCTCCTTGTGGCTCAGGGTACCTCCCTTAGTGTAAGGGGCTGACTTACTCTCTTGAGATAGGTCCCTTGGGAACTGTCCCCCCCCCCCCCAAGCCCAGAGCCCAGTTCGGTGCTCCTTCTTACCCTGGTTGTTCTGACTGGCTGGACAGGCTGTAGGTGATGGATCTGAGAGGCCCTGGTGCAGGAGTGAGCCTGGGGAGGAGGGCTCACAGGGTGAAGGAGCCTGCCTAAACTTAGACATTTCACTCTCTTCTCCTGGTACAGGCCTGGGACCTGCACTCTGCACATTTATACAATAGCGCAAGGCTTCCTGGAGAGGGAAGAAATATCAGAATAGCGTGCGTTGCTCAGGGTTGCAGCTCTTTTCCAGGTCAAAAGAATTGGGGACTGGGACTGAACTTATCACTGAGCTCTTAAGTGCATAAAATTGTGTGTGTGTATGTGGGGGGTGGGGTGGCCTTAGATCCTTTTTTCAATTTACTTTTTATTATGGAAATTTACACATAAATATACATACACAGAAGGAGAGAAAATAGCAATGTGAACTCCCAGCTTCAATTCAGGGCCAGTCTTATTCTTCATACAACCCTTTCCCACTCATCTAATCTCCCCCTAATTATTTTGAAGCAAATCTCAGACATATGTCACGTCGCTTGAAATTATTTCGGGATTTTATTCTGAAAGACAGTAATTCTTTTCCTTTTGAGGTATAACACATAAACAACGGAGTGCATAAAGAACAACAATCTTACGTATGCAGAGCAATGACTTTCACTTTTCTATATCCCGTGTATCTCCCCAGAACATTTGCTGCACCCCAAAATGTTCCTGCCTGCCCTTTCTGGTCAAAGCGGCCTGTTTCACAGTAGGCACTATCTCAGATCCTTTTCGAGCCCTTCTGGCTGAACTCCATCCGTCTTTCTGCTGCCTGTCTCCTGCTCTCACTGCAGCCTGCAATAACTCTCTGCATCCTAGGAAAGAGCCCTAAGAAATGAACTTTAATCCTGGCCCCATTACTTTACCTCTCTGGGGCTCTTTTATTTGTGCCGGTCAATGGCTGGTTTTCTTGCAAATCTGTTTTCCACCCTTCCCCTGTTCTGAACTGTATCACTACTGGGAACTACGTTTCCCAGACTCCTTTTTCCCTCTGGCTGCTGGGTAGGTTCAGCCAATAGGAAGACAGGTGGGCAGAGGGGGCTGCTGTTTCTCCACCACCCCTACCTCACCTTTACTTTTCAACATCTCCTGCAGTTGGTTGTGTTTCTTCCTTCTCTCCTTCCATAATTCCATACCCTACCAGGCAGCCACCACTGTTTAGTTCCTGGCAAATAGCTCTGGAGGTTTCTGGGTCTATAATGTGACATTACCCTGCTGTCTTTCCAACCCTAGAGATGGTGGCTGCTTTCTGCTTTACTGCTTTCTGGGTTGCCTCACTGTCTCCTGCTGGCTCTTCCGTCAGCCATGTACCAATACTCTGTGTTAAATTTGTTCTGTTTGAAAGACTTAGAGTGTTTCCTGTTTCTTGGCTGGACCATGATTGACGAATCTTATCAATAAATGGTTTTTAGCCCTGGCTGGTTTGGCTCAGCGGTTAGAGCGTCAGCCTGCGGTCCAGAGAGACCCGGGTTCGGATTCTGCTAAGGGCATGTATCTCGGTTGCAGTTTGTCCCTGACCCTGGTTGGGGTTGTATGGGTGGCAGGCAGCCACTTGATGTGTACCTTTCATGTTGATGTTTCTCTCTCTCTCTCACCCTCCCACTCTATGTGAACAAAAAATGAAAAAAATGTCCTCGGGTGAGGATAAAAATAAATAAATAATAAATAAATGGTTTTTATGCCTACCCAACCTTCCTAAGAGGAAGGGAGACTCACAGGAACGAGGAATCCATGAATTCTTTGTGACAAAGGCATTGTCTTTGCTTCTCTCCTTTCATGCTCTTCGCCAGCTTCCTTAAAGTGTTCCTGGTTTCCATTGGGCAGCACCAGACCCACATTAAGTGTCCCATAGACCCTTAGAATGTATGTGTGGGGTGCCTTTCCTCTCCCAAGCTTTCTTAAAAAAATTTTTTTTTCTTTATTGATTTTAGAAAGAGAGGAAGGGAGAGGGACAAAGAGAGAGATATTGATAAGAGAGAACATCTACTGGCCACCTCCTGCACGCCCCCAGGTTGTGGGATTTGGCCCACAACCTGGGCATGTGCCCTGACCAGGAATCAAACCAACGACCTCTTGGTGCATGAGCCACACCAGTCGGGCTCCCAAGCCTTTAAAGGATTTCTGAGTGAAACTTCTTCCCACAGGCTCATGAAGAATCCAAAAGAGGGTTGGTGAGAATGAATTCTTCTAAATACTCTTTTTTCCTCTCATCTTCTTCACACTGTTCTTAACCAACTGGTGTCCATGGAAAGTGTCTGGTAAACACTGAGAAATGTGTCACTGATGAGGGTCTTCCTTCTCCAGAGTGTTTCCATGATCACTGGGGACAGTCCCTTAGCTCAGTTGTCTCAACTGGGTTGACTTTGCCCCCCAGAAGACATTTGGCAACATCTGGAGGAGTTTTTGATTGTCACAATTCAGGGGGTTCTATTGGCATTTAGTAAGTAGAGGCCAGGGATGCTGCTAAACATCCTGTAGTGCACAGGATAGTACTCCCCACAACAATGAATGGTCTAAATGTCAGTAGTGCCAAGGTTGAAACTTCCTGCCTTTGCTCAAAGGAATCAACTTGTAATAGTGAACTTCTAAGCATCCTGCCAGGTGGCTGCACTAGCCGTAGTTGGGAGGGATTTTCTGGGACATCATTTTAGATTAGAGAGAAATTCATACTATATAAGTGCAGATAAAAGGACCACTGTTTTCCACACTGGGCTGGCCACTGTGGAAAGGCTAATTATCTCTAAGTAGTAAAACTAAAGCGTTTCATTTAAATGAGCGACTCATTTTTACCCTAGAAAGGATAGAAGTGGAAATGGAAAAAGTGAATAAAATTTAGGTAAATTGATAGACCACAAGTTAATAGATTACCAGAGGAAATTAGGATGTTTGATGTATTGGGGATGCCTTCTCATATACGTCTCTCTCTGTCAAAGGTGAACTGTGGGTCTTATCCCAGATGTTAATTTTGCTGTCTTTTTCACAGTGGATCAGCAAGCAGTGACAGCTACAAAGGGAGGCCACCAAGACGAATAAGCCTGGTGCCTGACTTCAGAAAACTCATCATATGACCCATGCATATATAGATACCCAAACAGACATATGCACATACCAGGATAATAATAGGATACAGATGTAAGTGCTGCAGTCGTGTTCTAAATAAGTCTCTGTCTGGACGTGTGGTGGAGAAAGTGGTTACTTCTATAGTCTCCTGTTCTCCAAAAAGCAAGAGGCAGGAAGACCCTTTGAACTCATAACCCTCACCCTACTGCAGAACCTTTCGTTTTACTCCTCTCCCTGTAGCCTGTGCACATTTTATGGCCACACCACAGGGTTAGAGGATGGCTGGTGTTGGGAGGGGGAAGGCAGCCCTGCAGGCAAGGAAGGGCTGGAGCTCTGAGGGAGGCTGGGGGAGTGTCCAAGACAAAGTCTACATGGCCCCACATCCCCCACAGAATAAGACTCTTACTTCTCTGGAAGTTAAGGGGGCAGCACTGAGCTTGGAGAAGGGAGGCTCAGCTCCCAACCTGGGTTTTCTTTGTCCCATTCCTTCCCTACCCCTCTGGGTGACTGTGGGCAAGTCACTTTGCTCTCTGGGTTTTTCAGTTCCCTCATGTGTTAAGCAAGGCGTTGGCTGCAGAGTCAGCTGGAAAGGGCCTTTGCCACCATCTGGGCTGCCTTATCCACCCTTTCCTGCCATTTTGTTTTTCAGAGAGGTCAAGTGTCATTTCAAAGTCACCTACAGAGTTTTAAGGCAAAAATGGAGCTCATAGAACAAGCCTATAACATCTCATTTATGAATAAACTATATATTTGTTTTTTTAAAGTACACGTAAGTCTATACAGGTACACAAAAAGATATAGATTGATACACAAATTACCAGCCTCCCCTTGGACTGAGGGATGGGAAAGGAATGGGACAAAGAAAAGTTTTATTGCTCTGTATACTTCTGTATTGTTGGAAAATTGTACTGCCACAAAAATGTACTTGGGTGTCCTTTCTGCACTTCAAAAGATAACATTTAAAATGGAGCTATGACACCAGTGCAGGTTTCTGATTTCTGCTTTTGTCATAACAAGCTTGCTCTGGCCAACTCCAGATCCAGGCTGCTGCAGTCTCTGAGCACGCGCTGCCACCCTGGACCCTGGCAGGCGGCTGCAGGGACACCACACTCCAGGCTCAGCCCA